CATGACCTGACTGTAATCCTGCCATCCTTTGTGCTTGCAAGGGGTCTTAAAGAAATTAGAAATTTAGACATACAAGATTGTAATAGCTGAGATAAAGGTAATCTCACTGTTGCTTCTCTGAGACCTCACATGCAGTGCTGCTTCCAGCTCTGAGGTCCCTAGCACAGGAAGGACGTGGACCTGTTGGAGCATGTCCAGAGGAGGCCACCAAAATGATTAGAGGGATGGAGCAGCTCTGCTATGAAGAAACACTGAGAGAATTGGGATTGTTCACTTGGAGAAGACAAGGATTTGGGTTGACCTAATTGCAGCCTTCCAGTAACTGAAGGGAGCCTGCAAGAAAGGTGCAGAGGGCCTTTTTTTTTTTTTTTCTTTAACAAGGGCCTGGAGTGACAGGACAAGGGGGAATGGCTTCAAACTGAGAGTAGATTTAGATGGGATATTAGGGAAATATTCTTTCCTGTGAGTGTGGTGAGGCCCTGCCACAGGTTACCCAGAGAAGCTGTTGCTACCCCATCCCTGGAAGTGTTTAAGGCCAGGTTGGATGGGACTTGGAGCAACCTGGTCTAGTGGAAGGTGTCCCTGCCCATGGCAGGGGTTTGGAAGAAGATGATCTTTGAGATCCCTTCCAACCTAAACCATTCTAGAATGATTCTCTGGAGCTATATATTTTTTTATGTTGTTTATATTTTTATATAAATTTATATTAGTTCTTCACCCAGCTCTTATTTGGCCAGCAGAGATTCTGTGTAAATAATTATCAAGGAGTTAGGCACTTTGTGAGGTGCATTAGCAGAAATGTTGCAGAAATGGAAATGTTATGTTCTGGTTTCTCTGGGCTGGTGTTGCACAGGTGAGCCTGACATGAAATATGTATGTTTTATGAGAGTCGAGATGGTGCTGGATGGATTTTGCTCTCATCCAGATAACGATGTCTGTGAATATGAAGCCTGTTTCCTATTAACAGCTGTTCCTGCAGTCTTGAAATTCACTTTTCACAAATGGGTATGTTCACGAAAGAGTAGTGCTTTCCTGGGAAGATCATCAAAGAGCGACGGGTTGTATCTTAAGAAAGTCCTTACAGAGCTTGGTATCCCGTGGAGTTTGTAACTCTGCCTAAGGAACTGCCTTTCACCTTTCTGAACAAAAGGCATCATGGAAGGAATCTCCAACAAATGCTGCAGGGGCAGATTTTAGTGGAACAGAGATGGGACTGAGGTTGAAGGAGTCGGGAGCAGAGATGAAATAGTCCCCTGGATGTGTTTTAGTATTGGGGGCAGGGGGATTCCCAAAGGCAAAAACGGGATTGATAGAAATAGGTGTTGCTTGTGCCTGTGACATGAAAGGGTATTTTGAGAGATGTGGGAGTGCCCAGCTGGAGAGGAAAGAAGAGCAGCGCTGGAAGGCCACTTTAATTCAGCAATGCCTTGTGTGATGGGTTAGTCAGGCTTTCTGCTCATCCTACAAAGTGAGGGATCATTGGCATTTTCAGGCTCTTCGAATTAAATTTAGCCTGTGCTTAAAGGACAGCCGTCTTGAATCTTGCAGACTGAGCAGCTCACCTATAGATGGAGGAGTCTGAAAAGGTGCTGTGTATTTGGCACTGAGCAGTGGCTCCATGTGATGTGTGCATGAGCCATGGCCTGCTTTAACAGAGGGGTCTGAAAAGTGCAGAAAGGAGGGAAAGCTGCATGGAAAGAATCTAATTTTCTTTGGATCTATCTGCTGGCTTTCAGAGCAGTCACAAATTCTGTCTTCTATTTTATTCTTTTATATATAATAGCGTGGGTGTGGACTGGGAATTATTTTAGGCCCTGTGGATGTGGCTCAGCAATTTCAACTGTGGTTAGAAGTGGGATTTTAAAAACAAAGGGAAACTTCTTCAAATCTGCACCTGGAAAATTTAATTTTCCATTGTGGTGTAGCTCACCTCTGCTTTCCCACTCTCAGTTTTGGAAGCTTCTTATCACTTTGTAAATCACTTCGCAAAACACCCATATCTTTCAGTTGAACTATGAGCTCTAAGGTTGAGAAGTGTTCCTAGTTATTAAGGGAGTGCAACTGGGTAACTATTTTATTAGATATTCATGGATGGATTGTTTAATTAGGTAGATAGAGGATCATATGTTTGCAATCTAAGAAGAAAAATTCAGAAAGGTTAATTAAAGATTAGTTGTAAAATTTGATGTCAGAAGTGATGTGAAGTTTCAGTGTGGACACTTAATTAAAATCAGTTTAGTTCATGCTGGAAGTGAATAGGAATGAAGGAAATTTTAGCTTACCATGGCTACAGATGTGGGGGTGTACCAAGGTCATTAATGCATGTTAACTCATACTTTTAAAATTAATTCCTGACGTTAATTTGGCTTGATTCTTCCCATCTGTCCATGCAGACAACACTCTGGAAGTTTCATATTTTTGAGATATTGCAGAAATTACTTCTTCTCCCCACTATTCCTTCGCAGCATCTGAGCTGAGATTTTACACTGGGGGAGGACAGCACGTCAAGCCCTGCAGGTGATGTTTGAAATGCTTAATTTTTCACCTAGTTGTTGCCTGCGTTTCACATCTGTGAAGTGCCCTCAGGCATGACCGTCATGGCCTGCCATGCGTGCACCACGGCTGAGCAGTGGGGTGGCTGCCTTGGAGCCTGCAGGGCAGGAAAGGGCTCTGTCCCAACCCCTTCTGCTCACGGCTTAGCTCTGCTTCAGGAGCATTTAGGCTGAGCCTCAGCCCTCCCCGTCTGTCAGAACCCTCATCAGGCAGCGCATGGCCTGCTCAGTGCCTCGTCTGTGTCTGATCGGTGGCAAAGCTGATGAAACCAGTCACTGCTGCCAGGAGATCTCAGGTCTTTCTTCCCAGCTCCTACCCATGTGGATCTCCCCTGGTTACCACAACTCCGTAATCTGAAAGAAAACAAACCTGAGGTGCGACTGAACACTGCACAGGGTTTCCAGTAAGTGGAGGGAGCAGCTGTGAGCATGTTGCCAGCCCCCGTGTCCCCTAGTCATGCAGCCCTAGCAGGTGCTGTTCTGTGCCAGCTCGTGCTGGGGACTTTGGGATGGTGGTGGTAATGACTTTTGGAGAGCATGAGCCACCATGGTTGCCCTAAGGAGGCCACCTGCCAGGGTTTTGGTAAGCACAGGCTGTGCTGGTGGGCAGGGTTCTGTGGCTGGATTTGTCCATCACTGCCTGTTTTTCTGAAGTGAAAACACTCAGGCTGGGAGTGAAGGTTATCATGTCCTGCTTTTCCCCACCTGAGTTTGCCCCACAGGCTGTTGCATGTTTTAATGGTGTCACAGTCTTGAAGTTGTTTTAAAACATTTTCTTCAGCTAAATTCCTGTCTAGCCATAAGCTCCAAGAAATCTGCTCTTTCTTCCATCCAGTATTGCTCCTTCTAGCCCATTTCAGTTCTTGCCAGATTCCTAAGCTGCCATCTCCTTTCAGTCTTTCTGGTCCTTGAGCATCTCTTAGCCCTCCCACATCCTTGGCTTGCTTTCTTTTATGTTTCATGAAGACAATCTCCAGGTGAAAAAAAAAAAAAACACCACAAAACAACCAAAAAACCCAAACCCCTCTCCAAATGTCCAGATACATTCTGCCTCTTCTCTGTAGTTGCGCTTGTTATCTTTCTGAAAACTGAATTTAGGTGTTGGTGTTATCAGTAGTTCTAATGAAATTTGTTTTATAGCTGGTTACCAGGAGATTATTAGCTGTGTGTTTGTGTCAAAAAGTAGGTGTAATGGTTCAGAGCAGATAAGCTGCAAAAACTACCCCCTTAAAAAAAGCCTGTGTAGGAGCTACTTTGGTGTTACTGACTGGAAAAATGAGCAATTCTTCAGCTCTGGTTTGGGGAGGAGGATCAAGGAAGTTGAATTTGTCTCGAGCAAGATGTATTTGAAGTGAAAATACTGGTCTTTGTAATATCTTTTCCAAGGAAAGCAGTGAGAAACTTCTGCTAATTTGGTAGTTGTGGAAAAAGATCCTGCTGGGATGATGCCTGGGTGAGACTGCTGCTGAGTGAGAGATTGGATTAGCCATAATTTGCACAGATCGTCTTCCTTCATGCTACTGCTTTCCCTCCCCTGCCGTGGTGTACTGCAATGCATTAGGGTCCTTGGATGGTTCACGCTGGCATTAATTTGAGTTACGGACATTTTGGGACCTCTTCCTAAGCTGTATGTGTTTGGGTTCCCTGCTGAGAGCAGAAACCTGAGCTGCTAGACTCAGGTGAAACATATGCCAGGCCAGGCACATACACTGGAAACTTGCCCAAGGCAGGATAATTATGGGAGGCAGCTTTTTCTGAGCAGACTGTGTGCTCTCACTTGCTAAACAGTCTTGTGATTAATGTCTTACTTAAGAGGATTTTAGGACACATGCTGCAGTTACACTGCATTTCTTTTAGAAGTAGGGGAGAGGTTAGAAATGTAAACTCTGTAAAGGCTCTTTTGTGTTTCCAGCAAGGGTCATCAGTTAAATGCAGTGCATCACTGCTCTGTTGTGTCAGGGTAGGCAGTGGTTTTTGCTATGGATGGTTCAGTGGGAGAGGGATCCTCAAGAGGGTCTTTGCACACATGTATTTGTACAGGTTGCATTGCTCAGAACTCCTTAGGGACTCATAGCCCCAGCACTAAGGGTGAATTGTTCTGCCCTGATCTCAATATTACCAGCTCTCCCTGACCCTGGCTCCTGGCTTTAGACTCTGGGAAGTTCTACAGACAGCAGGTGTTCACCAGCAGATTTCGCCTTCAAAACAAGGCTCTCTGTGCTGTTTTACTCAAGCCCAAGTTATGTTTAGAGGCGTTGGCAGCTCTAAAGAGATTGTTGATCTTACCCAGGATACCGTTGCCTGTGGTGTGGGCACAGCAGTGTTTGCTCTAGTGTTTCTGTGTTGCTGCCTATTTGCTGTGTGGTCCTGGCTGGTGATTGTAGTCCCCTGTCCAGTGATTTCTGATCAGTCTGATGTAACTGTTTAACATCTTGATTTCTTTCCTAGGCTAGAGAATTCGATTAAAAGGGACATGAGAGCATGAAGAATTGCACGGATGTGCTTCCTGTGGTGGCACCTCCTACAGATCTTACCTGGCAACCTACTGCTGCCTGGAAGAGAATGACAAGGAACTGCTGTGGGCAGCAAGGGAACCTGGAGATGAAGGTGATGACCATGGCTCTTCTTTTTCTTTTCAATGTCCCTTTTTTCACTTCCACATGGATGCAGCAGGAGCAGGACTGCTGTTGGTGTGACAAGGCCATGTACATTCAGAGGCACTGCTGTTGGCACTAGGGCTGTCTCGTGTTGCTTGCAGAGTTGGGAGGGTGGTAAAGAAAATGAGAAGGGTTCTCTGCTATTCCCTTTGCAACTATCCCATATTTCTCTTTTAAAGCAAAATACAAGATTTGTTCTGCTACTTGTGGGAGCCCTTGCAGAAGCTGAGACATATTGGTAGTGTGCCAGAGATAAGTGTCTGAGATCCAGTATTTATTCTGCCTTGCGTAAAGTGAATATGAGGTGTGTATTGGGGCTCCTTTTGGTAAGGGCTTTCCACAGAAACCCTCTGGGGATATTACCTGTGGTCCTGGCTTAGAGTAATTATCTGCCTACTTTCAGGGCTGACCTCATGTCTGAAGTGCTTTTGGTGGTGGTGCCTCTATCCCTGTCTGTCACCCTTCCCTGCTGGCATCCTGCCCCTTATCTCAGCACTGCAAGGCTTCGGAGCTGCCCTCAGGAATGATGGGCTAGTTCAAAAGTTTGGGTCATGTGAGCCATTACAGTGACTGAGGAAGGTGCTGATGCTGGGACCCCGCTTTTCTCTCATGCATGGGAAAGCTCACTTGGTAGGGAGCATTTTTAGAGGCAACTGCAAATGTAAGTGTTGGGTTTATACCTGTTTTCATGTGTGAAGAAGGCTTGGGAGGACCTTGTTGTATAGCTGCTTCTCTAGATCCTTTAATTGCTGGAATGAGGAGTGCCAGCTGTTGGTCCCCACTTCCTCTTCTGGTGGAAACATGCTAATCTCCTCTCCTCTACTTAAAACCTGAATCTTTAATATGGAACATGCACCATCCTTTCTTCCTTTCTGGCTGAGGAATACTTGTCCCTCCCAGTGTTATGTTACCTTTAGCATTGCAAACTGAAACACTTGGGCAGGGGTGGTGGAGCTCCAGCAGCCTGCTTGCTTGGAGGCTGCTGGATTTCCATCCCCAAAGAGGGCAGACAGCAACCAAAATTTGCACAGAGATCAAGACAGAGCTGTATGGAGCCTGGGGAGCACTGGCAGGAGTGGGAACACACTGCGGAAGGTGGGTGAGTGGAAAAGAAAAAGTGTGGCACGTTGCCTTGGGCATCTCTGGCAGTTGCTCTTTTCATGGGGAAAAGAAAACAAAGCTGGAGACAACTTGACCTCTAGTTAGGTAGGATTTGGGTGTAGAATAGAGGTTAAAGAAGCAGGTCAGCCATGGAGCTCAGCCCCTGCAAAACTTCTCGTTTGTTGTTGTTCTTGGGAAACAAGGGGGGGGGGGGGTGGTTAGTTACGTTTTTCTTCCTTGTTCCTCTGAAATCCAAGACCAAGCTAACCTTTCAAACTCAGATTCACTTTTAGTGCAGAGATATCCTTCTCTTAATGTGCATTGGTAACACTGAAGAGTCACCTTCTATTTGTGCCAGAATGAAATCTTTAGCCCCTTTCAAAACCCTTGGAAGTCTTCCTCCTGAACAGCAAACCCAGCTCCCTGTTACTAAGTACAGTTTCAGACTAGGCAGCCTGGTTAGGTGTGACTTGCAATATGCCAAGGCTGCTGTGGGAGTTGGATATTTGAAAACCAGCAAAGTGATACATTTGGTCTGTAATATCTGTACCTCTCTGTCTGCCTAACCCTCTTGTCAGCAGTTACGCTGTTATATGTTAATAATTTAAACGGAAGAGGGACTTTTCTCTTTCCTCTTTTGGGTACATCTGAAATAGGGAAGTAAAACCAAAAATTGGTACACACCCCCCTTCATGTCCCAGTGCTCCCTGTGGCTGTGTGGGGGCCTCTGACCCTCTCCACCAAAAAACCACCAAAAAACAAACAAACAAACAAAAACCAAACCAACCAAACAAACAAAAAAATACACCCAAAAACCCCCAAACAAACAAACAAAAAAGGCGCACGCCCCCCTCCCGCCCCAAAACAAAACAAAAAACCACAAACAAAAAGACCGGTAAAATGTAAACTAATAATTCTAAAATAGTTTCAGATAGCTCTGCTAGGCTTCCCTGCTGTTTTTCTTTGCTTTCATACTGGAATGTTGTGGTTCCTCCTATGTGAGAGGAGATATTCTAACCACCACACCCTGGGCTTGGGGGTTCTCTGCTAGTTTAGCCTCAAGGGGATACTGGTATGATGGCATGAGGAGGGAAAAAAAATGTGTTCCTCCTGTCAAGAGATATCCATGACTTTGTACCTTCAGATGCCTGTGCGAAGTTAAAACATGGTGTAGTAGCAGCCAAACTCCCATCCTGAGAACCTGGAGGGGAGCTTGTGGAGAGAAGAGTGAGCTACATTGCTGTACCAAAGGGTCCCAAAGGATCCTTTTGGCAGGAAGAGGAAGGAAAAAGGAGATGAAGGATCATCTAGGATCAGCTCCCATGAGACTGATGACATTGCCAAATGAACTACTGAAAAACTTGTCCCTATAAAGTGTGCTGGAGTAAAGGTAGGAGTAAAGGTAGGCAGATTTGTTTAAATAAAATGAATGAATAACTTTTCATCTAAAGCTTGTCTGAGCCAGATCAAAAGTCAGCCTTGTTTAAAGTTCAGTGAGTTTCAAGCCCAGTGCTTTTCCACTTTGAGCTTGAATGGGATGTTGAGCAGCAAGAACAGGTGGCATGAGATCACCCTCGCAGCCTTGAGCACTGTGTGGGATTTGTGGCATGTGAGACCACTGCTGTAGGGAGTCTCTTGTTCTTGCTCTTGAGCAGTAGGGCATGGTGTCGTCCCAAGGTGTTCTGTGAGTCACCCCCAGCAGCTGGCAGCCACCACTGTGCGTGTGGAACATCTCAGCTGGATTTCTACGGGTTCCTTGTCTGCACAGGATGCTGCTGCTGGGATGTGGATGGTTTTGGCAGTTGTACTTACTTGTGTGGTACATTGAGGTGTGTTGTAAGAGATGACTGTAGGTAGTGTTTGCTGCATGGCCTCAGCTTACAGACAAGTTTTGCAGTATTCTGTAACTTCTTCCTGGTATATATTTGTTTCAACTTAATCTCAAGTGTTTGATGCTGTGGTGCAGTTTCCTTCTTTGGGGGTGGGAGAAGCCCCACTGGAACTCTTTGACCTGTGTCTGGGTTGTTGAGATGTTAGATAAAAGAATTGGCTGGACTTCAGAATGATTCTGAGGAAGAGCAGTGCAGCATTAATCTGATTAAGTGATGTACTTTGGGTCAGGTTTGCACCTTCAAAGTTGACCTGCTGGTCACCTCCATGCATACCATGTTTCCATCCCTGCTCAGAAGCAATGTCTGATCAAAGGGGGTTGGAATCAGGTGAAAACCAACAAAAAGAAACTTTCCAAGAATGGTATAACCGGCTACTTGGGTTACTGCATTTCTCAGCAGCACGACTCCAATGGAATTCATAAGGAACGCTCCCTCCCACCCCCCTGATTTTTTTACATGTGCTTCTTTGAGCTTCCCTTCCCTTTCCAAGCCATCCATCCTAGGCATGAGAGATGCCTGACTTCTGTGTTTGGGGGCAGTTCTCTTAATGAAAGAGGAAGTGTGGTGTCTTTGTGGCCAGGTGGCGCTGAGTGCCCAGGAAGAGCGGTCTGGGCAATAACATCTTCCTCCCATCCCTCATATCTCATTCCTCCTCCCATATCTCATCCCTTCATCCAGCCAAGTGCTGTCTGGTTGTGGGGGAAGACAAGAATCTTTCCTTGCTCTGGGAGGCTCAGAGAAAGACTGCAGAAACATGTTGTGCTAGAAGCAGTATGAGAGCTGATGTTGAGTGGAGGAGATGCAAAAATGTCTGGGGCCTCCTTTGCTGCTTTAGGGAGTACCTTATGTTTTTGTTAGAATTATCTGTCTAGATCTCTCTCTCCATGCTGCAAGTTGTTACCTGGCTTTGATGAAAAACACATTTGTGCTGAGATTCACTGGTAGTCTCCCTTTTTCCCTGCTTTCTCAGCCACCCTGTCCTGCGTCTCATGCCCCTGGCTGGGCGCCATGTGGAGCTCTCTGCACACTCAACTGCTTGGCCCTTGTGCTGCTGCCAGGCTCATGTGCTCAGCCCGTACTGGCTGCACCTCTGGAGCCCTCCCACAGGTGTGTCAGGCACAGGCAAACACAAGGGGACTGTGGCTGTACTTCTCCCCTGGCACTACACAGACCCAGGGAAGATGGGCCACCATTAGTGACACCCTGGGAAAGCAAAGTCCTGTGGATTTCAGGAGCCATTGCTGCTGTGAGTAGGGACCAAGTTCCTCCTGTAAGGCAGCGCCACAGGGATGGCACAATGGCATCCTTCATAGAGGAGACACAAATTCCCATGTGCGTGGAGTTTCTGTGTGCTTAAATACCAGAGGACAGAAAGCTGCCTGCTTCAAGGGGTGGGTGGAGGTGTGGCTCAGATCCGCGAGGGATCCATCCAGTTGTCATCTGCAAGCTCTGCTGCCAGACTTGTTTCTGAAGTGCTGACCATAGGAAGTGAGTGATGTGTTTGGGGACAGGAGATGGGTAGTGCTTTCCAGGCTTTATGTCTGGTTTTCTGATGGAGAAGAAAGGAGACTAAAACCACTGGGAGCTGGAGATATCACATAGGCAGACACTAAAATGGCCTTTATTGGTGTGTCTGAACCCGACTGTGTTTAAAGCTTGGTGTTTACCTTCCTCCAGCAATTGTGTAGATTTGTTTCACTTCTGATCAATTAATGCCATGCCCATAGCCACACTGATCCATCACTGGGATGCTGCCAGCGTGTGTAAGGGGGGAAGAAAAAGGGAATTCTTTGGCTAGGTTGTACCTGGCACTGTAGAGCTGCAAAATCCACGGCATGCTGTGTTTGGGAGCTTACAGCTGGAGGTGGTTGCTAGGCTGTGCCAGTCCTCCATCCCACCAAAGAGTTGGTCATTGCAACTAGTTTGAGAGGCACCCCTTTGCTCCTGCCAAGTGTTC